CACAAAGAATGGCTGCTATCAAGAAATCACATAATAACAAATGTTGGTGGGGTTGTGGGAAGAAAGGAACCCTTCTCCATTGTTGGTGGGAGTGCAGACTTGTGCAACCACTGTGGAAATCAATATGGAGATACCTCAAAGAGCTTGGACTGGAGGTTTCATTTGACCCATCCATCCCTCTGCTGGGTATCTTTCCAAAAGAACTAAAAGAATCATATCACAGAGAAGTATGCACACCCATGTTTATAGTGGCACAGTTTGTAATAGCTAAAACTTGGAAACAGCCTATTTGCCCATCCGTTGGAAACTGGATAAAGAAGATGTGGTTTTTTTATAAAATGGAATATTACTCAGCCATAAAGAATGAGAAAATAGATTCATTCATAGGAAAATGGATGCATATTGAAGATATACTCCTAAGTGAAATACATAAGGCACACATGTGTAAATACCAAATAGTTTCTCTGGTGTGAATAATCTGCAATAATACAGAAGATCCTAATAAGATTATTGACATTTAGAAATGGGAAGAAAGGAGCTAAAGATGTAGGGAAGGTGGGACGGATAGGGGAAGGGTAATAAGGGAAAAGAAAAAAATGTGAGATAATGAAAAGATGGAAATAAAGTGTTTGTAGATGGGGAGGGGGCAAGAGGGTGAAGGGGGGGTAGGGACAAGGAGAAAAATGAGAACCAAGACTTGTTATGTAGAGGTACAAATTCCCTACAATGAATAACTGTACTGCTGGAAAAGAAAAAAATGTGAGATAATGAAAAGATGGAAATAAAGTGTTTGTAGATGGGGAGGGGGCAAGAGGGTGAAGGGAGGGTAGGGACAAGGAGAAAAATGAGAACCAAGACTTGTTATGTAGAGGTACAAATTCCCTACAATGAATGTAACTGTACTGCATCCCTGAAATGTACCAATAAACTCAATTAAAGCTGAAAAAAAAGAATAATATCAGATTCTGAATTTCCCTGATTTTCTTGCATATTTTACTGCTTTTCAGACTTAGCACATCACACTTCCTGTTAACCACCAAGCCACATTCCCAGTTAAAAATTATAGTGTTGAAATGATGATAGTTGCAAGAGATGGCCAAAGAATGACAGTGAAAGCACAAAAACAGAATTTTCCAAGATTATCAGAGAACTGTGGTGGGAGTTAAACTAAGGAGGGTCATGTCTTTCTGAACAAAACATTTGTTTGGATACACTGTGGAGAAAATTGCTTCAAGGAAGCTGAGCTCTCTTTCTCTGTGTGTGTGTGTGTGTGCGTGTGCGTGTGTGTGCGTGTGCGTGTGTGTGTGTGTGTGTGTGTGTGTGTGTGAAAACTAGATTCTCAGGCCATGAGCCTACAGTGTTGCCTGTTTCTGCAACTATGTGGGCCATATTCAGTTTGATCTGACTACAGGTGGAAAGAAGCACCAAATATTTCAACCACACAAAAAGCAAAACAAACACAACACCACCATGAGCTTGGAAGACATGGAAAAGCAGGAAACCTGCTCATTTTTAAAGAAGGTCTTCCCAAACCCTTGGACAAAAATGGCACTGTGTGTGGTTTCCCCTATCTGCACCACATGGTGACCGGGGTGGGGGGGAAGGAGAACGAGGAGCAGCAGGGGCCTGATGCTCTGCCCTGAGATCAGGATCCTGAGGATGTTGACCCTATAGGCTCAGCTCTGCCCCCCGGTTAATGTGAGAGGAACACAGTCAGAAGCCTGAGAGCTAGGCCTGTCCCAGTGTTCCCTCTAAGGCAGGTACTTCCTCTGTGACATGCTTGGTCATTAGGGAGACAGTGGAAAAAGCTGGCAGATACGGTGGATGAGGTGACTAGGCTCAGATAGCCATGCCCTGCCCAGTTCTGTGCCTTTGGAGGGTCAGAGGTGAAGATCTGTAGGGAGCATGAGCAAAGATGGGAGTGGTCTGTGTTCCTTGACTCTGCCCTCTCGGAGAAACAAGAGAATTAATACATAGCCAAATAGCTTTATCATTTAAAAGGAAATATCTGGAGGAATTTTGTCCTAAGCTGCTATATTTATTTAAATTTTAACTGACTATGGCAGCAGATGGTTATATTCACCTTTTATTTTTATTTTATTTTATTTATTTATTTATTTATTTATTTATTTTGGTACAAGGGATTAAACGCTGGTCCTTGAGCCTGTGAAGCAGGTGGCAAAGCCACTGAGCTGAATCTCCCGCCCTGTATTCTCTGTTTACAATGAAAGTGGTGGTCAGATCATGGCTATACCACTGCAGTTATACTGTTGTCACTTTAACAATCACGACTGTGCCTCCCCATTGTACACTTTAATTT